GATTTATTGTTTTAGAACAAACACATGGTTTTAGCTGCACAAGAAAACTGTGATATCTTAACAGTGTATGATATAGATATTATGTGTGGTGTTTCAATTCATATAATTAATAATTTAGCACTCCTTTTAAGGTTGAATGGAATATTCAACTGGGAGCCATACATGGTGAGTAATAAAATAGCTGCAATGCAGTACTCTGCATTTTTTAAGAGCTGAAGCGCTCTATCAGACTCATTAATATCAGGTTATCTGAGGGCTTTACCCTCTGATAAAGAAATAATAGCATGTATACGTTTTTCCATTTTTTCTGTTAGAATTTATTTGTGTGTGAGAAATGTATACCAATACTGTTAGGAACTTTAAATGTTAGGACGTTTTCAGTTTATTTTTAATTTTTTTGTGATATACTTCTACCTACTAACCAGTAATTATGATAAATAGAAATATACTGGTTTCATCCTGTTTCTTAGGGAGGTTTCAGTAGAAACAAGGTTTTGGCAAGGTCTTTTTGCTATTTCCACAAAGCATTATGTATCGTGTTTACTAATGTATTCTGTAGAAAAAAAAATAAAAATTAACTGAATACATGAAAAGAAAACGATTATTTGGGAGGTGGAGTTAAGAGGCTTACTATTCTAATTTTTATTTTTACATTTTTTTCCTGTTTCATCAGTTTATGGAAAACAGAAATCTACTTTTTTTTTGGCATAATTTCAAACTAGTCAACTTCTATTGTTGTGCCATTGAAAATACCACACTTAAATCCTTTATCTTTGAAATAGGTTTAAAAGATGAGGCATGTGTAATTATCCATATGCACTGTATGTAAATTGCCTGACCTGGTTTGCTTAAAAGGGAATTATATTTTATGCAAGCATGATAATTTCAGGGCTTACTTCATCACTGGTCTTGGACATACTATAACTTATCTCTGCTTTTTTCATTTGGCTTGAGTGATATGTTAATAAAAGTAATTTTACTTATGTGCGACATATTTAGTCTCTAATTTAGAAGCATAAACTTGTCATCTGTAGGAAAAATCAAAATGTACACAAATTTTTCAAAGAATCAGTGTAGTTGGGCAAACATTCAGACTTCTTTGTAAGTTCTCAGTGTATCCTCATTTAGTGCAGCTTGGTTTGGTGTAAGGATTTTGTTTTCTTGCTTTGTTTTTGAGAAAATGAAGTTGCAGCCTGAATATTACAACTCAACAGAATGTTTTACATATACACAGCCAAGAGATACCGTAAAGAAACCAGCCACTACCAAGAGAATGGTGCAATCACACCTAGAGCTGCACAGGCACTTTTGTAAGTCCTCTCTGACAAGAGCCTCACCTGCCTAGGTGGATTTTTGTACAAGAATCTGGCAATTACTCCAATATTCATGTCATCTCTTGCCTTGGTGAGACGAACCTCAGAATAACCTTTGAGGATGTCTTGCACTCAAAGATACTGAAGTTATATAAAACTGTTCTGGCACTGAAAAATTTTTTGCTCAAAAAATCATTGAGTCAGCACATTGAAGACTGGGTGATGAAGGACTCTGTGGCAAGCTAGTGGATTATGAGCATGAAGCCTTCCAAGCTATGACTCAGTAATTTTCTGAAAGGGTCAATAGCTTCAGAGCTATTAATAATATTGGAATATAAGTCTCTAGAAATGACTTACAGCATTGACAAGTTAGTGGAGAGTTCCATAGGACAACTAGGATCTGCATAAGTTGAATTCAGTAAAATATCATTATATCATCGTGCTTACTTTCAAAAACTGTATAGGATAACCTTGACTCTTCCACTCAAGTTTTATACAAAATATTTTCATTAAGTTCTGATCTTCCATAAATTTATATGAAGTCTCAGGCTGCTATAATTACAAGGAATAATTTCTTGGATAAAATCGTGATCATATTGCTGATTTCAAATGTGAAGACAGGATCATGCCTATCCTTTCAGAAATTTAGATTTGTTCTTGTAAAAGTACTGTGTTCAGTTGTTTATTGGCTTCAATTTTGTTTAAATTCATAGAGCATCTTTCATTTACAAGTATCAAGCACCAACATAAATGTTTCTTGGTGTACACACGTGTTGAAATGGTTCTTTTTTAAATGGGAAATGGAGTTTACACAGTTCTTAGTGCCTGAAAACACCTAAAAGGCTGAAAAGAAGATTTGCACCTTTTGTCATTGCAGAATATAGACCGCAAAGTCAAGTCAGTGAAACAGAATGACCTGCAAAATTGTCCAGTTTTATCTAGAAAATAGTTTTTTTGCCCCATTTCCCAAAAGCCAACCTGTGATACATGTGGCTCTGTTTCTGTTTTGTCTTTTTGTGACCAGTCTAAGAATTTCAGAGGAATGAATTAAAGCATCTTAAAAAGACCACACAGCAACTTGTTACTGAGTCATGGTTATGCACTGGGAAACATAGATGTAATTTATGCAAGAATAAAAAGTTAAATATTTGGTTAAGCCCCTCAAGGTTTTTATAAGAAAACCTTTTTAAACTGAGCAGATGAAAACCTGAAGCAATCAATAAATAATTACAAAGAACTTTCCCATTATAAGTAGGCATAGCTTTTGTGTTGAAAATGGTATTTTTTTTAATAGAGAATTTTGCAATGAAGGAAGGATTTAACTTCTGTTACATAAACATTCTAAGAACTTTTCACAACCCAATAGATGCATTGCAAAAAGAATTTATCTTGGAAAAAGACAGGGTAAATTGGAGAAGAATGTTGGGAGAGGTCTGGAGACATCTAGAGAGATGTTTTTTAAAGTGCCTTTCACAGAAAGTTTGGGGACCTTTTCAATTAAGTAGTTTACATTTCAAATTTGCTAAAATCAGTAGGGAACTCTAGTCTGCATGACCCTGTGCTGCGTGAAAATGATGCTGTGGATGCATCTGGCTTTCATTCACATGTGCATACACACATACAGTCTCAATGCATGGTTTGCAGAGGAACCAGGACTAATAGCTGTGACAAGTACTTATTTGTACTTGTGCTGAGATGTGTTTCTACAGAAAGAAAGAGAAGAGAAGGCTTTAAGGAGACCTCATATTTAAAGAGATATTATAAACAGGAGGAAAATCAACTTTTTACATAGATAGCTAGTGATGGACAAGGGGAAATAGTTTTACTAAACAAGGAGAGATTTAGATTAAATGTCATGGGCAAGTTTTTCACAGAGAGAGTGGTGAGGCCCTGGCACAGGCTGCCTGGAGGCATTCAGGGTCAGGTTGGATGAGGCCTTGGGCAGCCTTATCTGGTGGATGAAAGCCATGCCTAAGGCAGCAGGTTGGAACTGGATGATCTCCGAGGTCTCTTTCAACCCAAGCCATTCTGTGATTCTGACCATTCATATTTTTGAAATAATTTACACAAGTGTCTCAATTTTGTTCATTTCCAACTTTTAAAATTATACAAAATGATGAATGATGACAATCAATTAACCATCATAAATAGTGTAATACACAATTATCCATTACCTACAGCAGTATATATTTATGAGTATGACAGTGGTTTACATGGATATATACATACATCTGTATAACCAGTTAGTCCTTCATCATGATAGAAATCACTATTTTAAGCCACTTTACATGCAATTTATGTATTGGTAAAATGTTTTAGTCGATTAAATATAACCATATACATAGATGTTTACTATTTATATTTGTGATAGAATTAAAGGAAGTCAATTGTTAAATCATCACTGTAACATATGCTGAAGGCTGAATTTTTGTTTATTTTATTTGAATTTATTGTCAGCAATGCAGTCATATTCTATGTCAGTATTACCTAGGTGGACTGAAAATTAAATCATAGCTCACAGATGCTTCTTTTTCCACATATTGTTAATAATAGCTTAGTTGGGTTAAATATACTTTGCGAGATACAGGAGTACAGTTATATGCACAAAGTGTGAAAGATTTAGTATATAGAATGTGGTTTTCCATAAACTGAAAATGCCTCCAATAAAACAAACTTGATGACAATGTACATGGAATTATTTTCAAAGGTATTATATTGATGTAAATTTTTCTGGAGTCAGGTAGTGTGGAATTTTATAAAGTCCTCGAACAATTCTTTAAGTTCATAAATTTGAAAGAAATCTCCAGGAGTGATTTCTAATAAATGGAAATATGAGCTCGTGCTAGATTACACTTCAGGGAAAGATTATGTCAAAAGCATGATTGTATTTAATCAACTGAATGATTCCTGCTTATTCATTTCATCTCAGCTATGTCTTACGTCTGTGCAATATTGCACAGAATATTTTAAGCATAATATTTGCAATATTTTTCCTAAAACCTCCCAGAAAAGGTTATCTAAAAATTGTCTCTAAAATACAAGATATTGAAAACATTACTGTTCGGGATTGGAGTGCATGTGGAGCATGCTTTGGAGTTCTTGATGTTGTGGAGTGAAGCTCTTGTTTTGGTTTTAGCAAAGCAAAATCTAGCTATTCACAACAGAACTGCTCTGTAACCTGAGAAAGAATTCTAGTGAAAATACAGCCTGTACACTTCTGATTTGTTTCTGAATTGCATTCAGAGGCTCAAGCAAGCTTCTTCATCTAATTTCTTACTCTCTGTAGGTAGATGCATCTCTGAAGGCTTCCAAACTGCGTGATTTCATGTCTTGTGTTTGGAATGAGTTGAAAATTAAAATCAATCAGTTAAAAATGAAATCAGTTTGGCCTGCATTGTTAAACTGTGTAATGGTTCTATTTAGGTTTGGCATAATTGCTGTTATTTTGAAAGGGAGCTATATAGTGCAACAAAGATAAACTAATTTGAGTATTTTTGCTACTTATTTTTCTTCAATTGCAAATCAGTTCAAGTAATAATGTAATTTTCATCAGAGACATTTATTGAATGGCAATAGCTGGAATTGTTTGCTCTGTCAGCTCTGTCAGATTCTTTCAATCTTTTTTGTTGTTATACACAGAAATATATGTGGCAGATTTTAAGTTTCATTTGATCTTCTTTTTAATAGTGATCTTAGTGAAAATCAGATTCAAGCCATACCCAGGAAGGCATTTCGTGGAGCAGTAGACATAAAAAATCTGTAAGTATTTTTCTCCTTATTATATGTACTCCGATGATAGTGCTTTGTCAATACAATTTCCTTTTGTTCTGTCAGATACCTTTTTGCTAAGCACTTTTATAGCTGCTCAAGTAATCCTTGCATAAAACCAATCTTGTTTTGGCAAAATATTTTAACTTATCTTAAGCATCCTATCTTTGCCCATCATGAAATCTGAAACATTTAAATGGAGTTGAATAGAACAAGACATTGTAAGTATTTATTTATTGTAACCTGAGTTTAATATTTGAATGTCAAATTACTTTAAACATTTCATTGTTTCAAGTAGAAAAATCTGTTCTTCTTCATGTCTATGTATGTGTTTTGTTTTCCTGTGCAAAAGAAAGAAAGAAAGAAAAATCATGCTATTATCTAGTTTGCTCACATATGTTTTCCTGCTTCAGTATTTACTTTTCTCCCACAGTTTTCTTTGTGGCAAAATAAGTATTTTCTGAAAGCTAGACTCACTTTCCTGGAGATAGTGACCTTAAAGTTCATGGGCAAGTTTTTAATTCTTACAGCTTCTGTGTGAAGAAATATGTGCTTCAAGACAAAAGAAAGCAATGACTTTTTGACTTTTGTTTAGAGCAGTGAGTCAGTTTAGTGATCTGAATGAGCTGAATGACCTGAAGATTGTCATGAACTTCTATGGTAGGAAACAAGGTTATCCACTCAAAAGCTGTAACTGCAGCTGTAAGCTGGGGGTTCATTGCTAGCAAACAACCAACAATGACAGAGGACGTATTCTGCTGGGGTCAAGAAAGTCCATGAAGCTGCCATTGTGATGCAGCCGTGAAAAAGTGTAATTGCTGTCTTAGTCACATCAGTGAGAACAGGGGAGTATTAAGTTCTTATGTTTTCATGTTATTTCTATTGAAATACTTTCTACTAATTGTAGTTGTCAATTTAGAGAACTTTTTAGTTGAACTACTTTAAGTGCTTCATGATTGCTGTACAAGATGTTGCATCTCCACGAGTGAAGCCCTTTGTGTTTTTGGCATCCTGTGATGGACTCTACTCCATTCTACTGCCCTTAGCACTGCACACAAATCAGTTACGAAGGCTTAAATTCAAGAATTTCAGCAGAATGGACAAGTGTTTGCCCTGCTTGCTTTGATTTTTAGAAATGTGTGTTTCTGTGTTACTAGGTGTTACTGTGTTACTAGGAAAATCTAATATATTTGAGTCTATTATGCTTAAAAACTTGCAAGCACATCTCAAAGCAGCTTTGTTAGTTTGTTTAAAAGATATTCTATACTGGTCCCATCATTATTCATGGTTGGAAAGAGGCATAGCTACAAGGGTAAGCTTGCATTTTTGTGTATGGGCTTTTATATTTGATAAATTGATGATTGAAAGAAATTTTAGTGTAAAAATAAAAGTATCATTGAGAGTCTTCAAATGGCAGGGCAGTATACTTGACTGGAATAAGTATGTACTGTGAGATAGTTCCAGTCAGGAACTGAGTTAGAATGCTAATCTTTAGCTAAGATAATATTCATGGTAAGGATCCTGAATTCTGTTGAAAATGTGCATAAAACGGTACACCTGCTTTTTAAAGACTTTATCTTTTGGAAGATAATTTAAACAAAAGTTTCATAAGACTGTGTAATTGCCACAAAAATCCAAATCTTATCAGTGGCACATAGTTTATTGTGATACCAGGAAAACTACAGAAATTACATTTCTTTAGTGGTCCCAGAAAGACAAAAAAAGAAAGAAATTTGATTTTTAATATTTATGATGCCACTGCAGCAGTAAGCAGCAACAAGCACATTTCTCTTGTTGTAAATGCTACCTTCATTCTTGGTTGCTCACTGTTTATTATGTGTGGTGTAGATGTGAGTATCAGAATAACACGTGAGTTTATGAGGCAAGTCAGTTGGAGTCCAGCATAGAATTTCTGTAGCTAGAGCAGATAGACAGGAAATGAATAGCTTTTGTTCATTTCCAGAAAATTAGTAAAGATGGAGAGAACTGAACACTAGCCTTCCATTTAGCCATTTATATTACACTTAAAGAAGGATCTGAAGAAGAAATATACTGTTTTTATTTCATTCTCCAATAAACGAAAAAATCAGTGGATGGGTAATATATGTAGAAAGCATCTCTTTGCAAACAAAAGGGACTATAAAATGAAGGCATGTAGCATCTGTGGAATGATTAAACTAGGGAATGGCAACAACAGTGGTTTTGCTGAGAACTGACATAAGTGGCATTCAATATTTGTTCTAATATCACAGTTTCTTCTGTAATTGTCTAATGGGTAAGCATACTTTTAAAGATGTTAACCAAACAGAGGGAGAGGTGAAGGTACAAAAAGTAAAGAAACCTGCATTAGAAAACTTTGTAAATGCAAGTTTTATTTTGTCTAAGAACATCAGATAAATTACAATATAAGTTACAGGGACACTTCATTAGATAAATTGAGTGCGTTTAAAACCATCCTAAGCGTTAGCTGTAAGCTATTTCAAAGGCAGTTAACAAATCTCACAGAAATCAAACTGGTTATATATTTTATTTTGCAGAATAGAAACTACAGAGTAATATTTCCCCACTCGAATGAGGAGCTGGAACATTTTGGAATAGATTTTATGGTCACCAAATAAAGTTGTTTTCGTTTTCATGGAGCAAAAGGAATTAGATATTAACTCAGAATACCTGAGGAAAATTATGTCCTCTAAAGTTGATAATACCACTTGTATCTTTTGATTTCCTGCTAATATGTTAGCTCTAAGGTCTTCTTGATGCTTCTCAGAAGCAGCTGTCCAGTTTCCATGAGATGGGGCCATGGTTCCATTCTGGACATCTTAATAATATTTATAAGATATATTCTGTACACGATAAAAGAAACAAACTGAGCAACGCATTGTGAGAAATCATAATTTCATCAACAAGCCCCATCACAAAACAAAACAAAAAAGTCCTCCTGTTGGGCCCTTGTAGGTAACTATAATATCCCCCGCCCTTTGCCTTTTCTTCTTAAGGCTAAACAAATGCAGTTTTCACAGACTGTACCCTAATGTCACCTGCTTCATCTTGATGATCCTAGTTGGACTCACCCCAACCAGGATTTGTTAGCATCTGCGGGGGATACTGAGATTAGATATGATGCTCAGATCTGATTTCCCAAATGCCAATCAGACAGATACAGCAGAAGGAAGGGATGCCATCCAGAGGTACTGGAAACTCAAAAGGTGGGTTTTTCTTAACCTAATGAGATTGAACAGAGCAAATGCAAGGTTTTGCATTTGGGTCGAGGTAATACCAGATCTGTATACAAACTGGAAAAAGAACTCCTTCAGAGTAGCCGTGCTGTGAAGGACTTAGGAATCCTGGTAGATGAAAAACTTAATATGAGCCAACAGTGTGCGCTTGCAGCCTGGATATCCAGTCATATCCTGGGTTCCATCAGAAGAGAGGTGGCCAACAGGATGACGAAGATGATTGACTCCCTTTATTCTGCCCTTGTGAACTGGAGTACTGCTCCAGTCTGGGGCCCCCAACACAGGAAAGATGTTGAGTTTTTGGAGAGGGTCCAGAGAATGGCCAAGATGATCCAAGGACTGGAGCACCTCTCCTATGAAGACAGGCTGTAGAAACTGGGCTTGTTCAGCCTGGAAAAGGGAATGCTGCAGTAGGACCTCATTGTGGCCTTCCATTATTTAAAGGCAGTTTATAAACGTGAGGGAAATCAACTTTTTACATGGGTAGATAATGATAAGACAAGGGGAAATAGTTTTACACTAAAGGAAGAGATATTTAGATTAGATGTTATGGGGAAGTTTTATTGAGAAAGTGGTGAGGTGATGGAACAGGTTGCCCAGAACGGTTGTGGATGCCCCATCCCAAGAGGTGTTTAAGGCAAGGCTGGATGGAGTTCTGGGCAATCTGATCTAGTTGATATAGCAGCTGGCAACCCTGCCTGTGGCAGGGGAGTTGGAACTTGATGATCCTTGAGATCCCTTCCAATCCAAGTCATTCTATGGTCTCTCTCAGCATCCTGACTTTGCTCTCATGACTGCAGCCCAGTTAATGACTGTGCCAATAAATGAGGGAAACTTAATTCCCAAAGTTACTTCATAATTTGGTACCTCTTCTTGGAGAATTCGCTTCAAAAAGTTAGGCTTTTCAGATTTTTAAAAAGCAAATAGAAATTATCATATAAATTGGAAATAAAATACATATTTTTAATACACATGTTAATGACGGTTTCATAATCCTCCCTGGTGGTACAGTGCTCACACCAGTTGTGGAACATTTAATTTGAAAGCTTCCCAACCTCAGGAATTTTATTTAAATTTAGGGTGTTAAGAAAATGCTTTAGCTACTCTGGTTATAATTTTGGATGGATTGTTTCTCGGATCTGGTTAGAAGGAATTAAAATAACTGGGCGTAAAAATCAAGTGAATATGAAACACTGTTGTAAATATAATAATAATAGTTTCAGATTTTGAGAAGCAGATTTTGACATCTAGTGATTTTTATAAAACAGTATTCTGAGATTTCTATATAAAGTACAGAAAGTTTTTTAAGATTCCAACTTTCTCTTCTGCTGTGTAATCAATACATGGAAGAGGATGGGAAGCAGTAACACACATCATAGCAGAACTGAACTGTGATAATAAATGCACTTACCATCAAAATGATGCCAACAATAAAATAGGAGGGAACAGTTTCATTGTATCTCCTGCAAGTATTCTGTAGCCTGTTTTTATTGTTTCAGGGGATAGTGATGTCCTCTTGGGCAGTTTTGCTCCATCAGGGAGCAGGAGAAAGGCAGCTACAGAGGATCTGTTCTCTCCCTTGTTACAGAAGGAAACTGAGAGTTTGTGGAGTCATTGGCTACTGGGTCAGAAAAGTAAGGGGAATTGAACGGTCATTATGTAGGTAATGGTCATGGTGGATCTTAGGGCCAGGATGCTGTTGGACATTGTAGCTGTCACCCCAAAGATAAAAGCTACATGGGGATGTAGTAGTTT